AGAAGGACTTTAAGTATTTTCCTCTATTGCTTTCGACTTTATGAGATTAGGGCATCTCAGTTGGAAGACTGGCTGGCTAGTAGGAGCCAGAGATCTGCTTGTCTTCACCACCCTCCCCCAACCTCAGAAGTGTTGGGGTTACAGATGTTCTCTTCCAAGTCCAGCTTCTTACATGGATGTTGGGAATCCAAGCTCAAACATGATGCTTGCATGGTAAGCACTTTATTGACTGACCCATCTCTCCACTCCCCCAGCTATTTATCTAAACCCAGTACTGGTTCCCTTATTTGTTTGTTTATTTACTTAGGTTTTTTTGAGTCAGGTTCGCTACATAACTTTAGCTGTCCTGGAATTCACTATGTAAATCAAGCAGGCCTTTAACTCACAGAGCTCTGCCCACCTCTGCCTACTGAGTGCTGGGATTAAAGGCGTGCACTACCATACCCAGTTTGATTCTTTTTCTTTCCTCACTTTTAATGCCATTTATTTGATGAAAAAGCAAACACATGCACTGTAGATTTTCACATTCTGGATCTTGCAGATTGTGTCCTCAGGGCTTTGCTTAACATAGTATTTTAGAGTCTGGATTTTCTTAATTAGATCTAGGTTGAAGGTTCTGTGCTAAGGTCAGAATCTTTTCCAAGTACTCTATACTTCCTACCACACTGTATGTGGGGGCATACAACACATGTCTGCTTCAGTGGTGACATAAGACCAATCTGTCCATGCCAAAATACTTAGCACAGTCCCTATGCACTCCTATCTGCATTAACCCTGAAATGTACATGAAAAATAGGATGCAGAGGAATAAAATCATGAGTAAAGATGCGACAAAGTATAATAAAATTCTGATGTAAACATCTATATAGAAAGTGGGTACAAGGTATTCACTACAAAATTCTTTCAATAAATAAATATTTTCTATTAATATGTGTAATTAATATATTTTACACACACACAAAGTCAGGTGTGCTGGTACACAAATGTAATCCCAGCAATGGAGAGGCAGAGGCAGTAGGATCTTTGTGAGTTCTAGGCCAGCCTGGTCTACATAGCAAGTTCCAGGTCAGCCAAGGCTACATAGTGAGACACTGTCACAGAGACCAAACCAAGTGGTGGTGGCAAACGCCTTTAATTCCTGCACTTAGGAGGCAGAGGCAGGTGAATCTCTATGAATTAGAGGCCAGCCTAATCTACAGAGCTAGTTCCAAGACAGACATGGCAATACAGAGAAACCCTGTTTCAGAAAGACAAAATATCAATCAATCAATCAATCAATCAATCAAAACATCAACAACCTACCAAGGGGCTGGAGAGATGGCTCAGTGGTGAAGAGCACCTGCTCATTTTCCAGGCCCCACATCGGTTTCCAGCGTTCACAGCAGCTGACTCACAACTGCCTGTAACTCCAGATCCAGGGAAACTAACTCCTGTCTTCTGCAGGCACCTGTGCTCAGGTACATACATAAGTACACGTGAGCACATAATGTGTGCGCACACACACACATATACACACTTAAAAAATAAAAATAAATGCTTAAAAAAATAAATAGAATTACTGAAAAATATTTCAAACTTGAACATTTTTATAATACGGGGGAAACAGTTTCCCTGGTATTCTGGGACTAACACATAAAGTTTCTATCCACAGCCTTTCTAACCATTTTGGCAGACAATGAAATCTATGATTTCGTAAAGGTTTGCAAAATGTAATTCTCTAGTTCTTTTTGAATAGTTTTGGCTGTGATTGTCCTACAGGGCAAGCAGTCTACCAGCGTCTGATCCACACCACGGGCCCTGGGGTTTCCCTAGGGAGAAAATGTCCCTTTGTTGCTTATCTGATGGAGCTGGGATCTAATTGCTACAGGAAAGGCAAGACAAACGTTTTCCCCATTCCCTTTGATTATCGATTTATAAAATACAGACCAAATACCCTAACAATCTCTAAGGAATCCTGGGAGGTTTTTAAAATCATTTTCTGTCTTTGATGTGTCTACTGAAGCCATTGTTCCTCTGAATGCTGCAGTTGTGCTGTGTGTTGCAACAAGAGTCCTTTAAAGGTGGCTCCTGGCTGCTACTGCCACGACCCCATTAAATTCAGATAGCGTCCTTGTGCCTGGGCTCATGAAACTGCCTTGAAGCTTCTAATGTACAATCTTTGCCCTAGACCTCAAATCAACCTTTATCCCAGAGAGCTCTGAGCACTCTGAGTAGAAAACGGTATTTCTAGACTCCACTCTGGAGCTAGGGCACTACTGCTGCTGACTGCCATTGTTTCTGGCGCTGAGAGTGGACACTAGAAAAATATCCATTATCTAAAAAGAAAAACATTAAGCATGCATTCACACTAAGATTTCCAACTGAAATTCAAGAGTATAGGGTTTTTATGATAGCTCTTTAGTTTTTATATGTTTTTCTTATATCAAAAATCTTCATTCCTAATAATATCAACCAAACAATTTATAACTTATTTTCTTTGTGTATGCACGCATGTGAGTGTGGGCATGTGTGTACTTCAAAATAATATCTAATATTATTACTAGCAGTGAAATTACAAAGGACAGTTTGGTACTTCCTGGTGGTACTTTTTGTTCTGGAACATTTTAACTAACCTGTGTGAAGGGTGAGTTAATGGGCCACCTCACCTGCTGCACCAGTCCAACACTATCGCTCCTTAATTAGGAAGGAAGGAGGCTAGTGCAGAAGCTCAGTTCCATCAGCTTTTAGACCACCCCCTTCCACCCAGCACCCTAAGACACAAACAGACCTGGAAGAGGAAGCCTTCAGGAACCAGATAAACACAAGAGGAACAAATCACCCTGCCGAGTAACGCAGGGTCAGTGAACTAAGGAGTGAAGGGCTTGGGCAGAAATCAGGAACACAATTCCCATTAAACAGGCAAGCTCAGTCAGAGCTGACAGGCAGCAGCTAACGTTGTCAGCAGGAGCTCCAGCGAAATGCTGCTTAGCAACACGGACAGCAGATGACAATGACAACCATACGAAGAGCTGGAGGATCAGGTTAAGTGTGACAGCCATACCATCTCACAATGACTCTTCCTCAGCCAGGCACAACCATACGAAGAGCTGGAGGATCAGGTTAAGTGTGACAGTCACACCATCTCACAATGACTCTTCCTCAGCCAGGCACAGCTAATTCCGGTTAAGTGGTAAATACGGTCCCTGAATTGCCTATGCATTATTACTTTTATATCCTATTTTTTTTTTAAAAAAAAAAAGGGTAGTAAAAATGTCAAAGTCAACATTCAGGAACTGGCCCACACAGGAACACTACCCTGAGCCCATTGTTTTTAGAATATCTTAAAATTGCACAGGATGCTGTGGAGATGAACTGTGAATCTGAGGATGTGGAAAATTTAAAGTGATCTTATTAACATTTTTTTGTTTGTTTGTTTGTTTAATTAGTTGGTTGGGTTTTTTGTTTTGTTTTTTAATACAGAGTTTCTCTGTGCAGTCCTGGCTGTTCCTGGCTGAACTTGCTCTGTAGACCATGCTGACCTTGAACTCAGAGAGCCACCAGCCTCAGCCTCCTGAGTGCTGGGTTAAAGGTGTGTGCCACCACACCAAGACTAACACTTTTTTTGAATTCCAATCATTCTCTACTTGTGTGTGGCATATGCACACAAATGTGTTTAAGCACACATGCCTAAGTGTATGAGAGGTCCAGGGGAGGGTGTCAGGTGTCCTATTCTCTCCCTCTCTACCCTATTCATTTGATATAGAGTCTCTCGCTGAGCTTGAACCTATGCTGGTGATCTCCTCCCTGAACAGAGTTGGGTCACAGGCACATGTGTGGTCATACCCAGCTTTTTACACGGGTACTGGGCATCCAGATACAGTTCTCATGTTTGTACCGTAAGCGCTCTCGCCCTCTAAACCACTGGTTCTCAACACGGGGGTCCCAACCCCTTTGAGAGGAGGGTCAACCAACCTTTTCACAGGGGTCACCTAGGACCATCAGAAAACAGATATTTACATTACAATTAGTAATAGTAGCAAAATTAGAGTTATGAAGTAGCAACAAATGTAATTCTTTGGTTGGGGGTCACCACAATATGAGGAACTGTATTAAAGGGCTGCAGCATTAGGAAGGTCGAGAACGAGTGCTCTGAGCCATCACTCCAGCCCTTCATTTACAACCTTTGGCCCATATGAAACCTTAAAAAAATACTTTCAGGCTCCCACTTGGGCATATTAAATCAAAATCTCTAGAAAGGAACCAGGTAGCAGTCTATTTTATAAAGGCTAGTGATTTTATTTGCACTCAAAATTGACTATCACTACAGTAGAACAAATATGTAGAACAGTTGTAGAAGTTTTGTGTATGAGACTCACATCAGGAGCTTGTCAAGCACATGGTATAGTATGAAAGACTCAGATTCAGCTGGACAGGTGTGAGCTTAATTTTAATTAATAGTCTTCATGTTTAGCCAGAACTCCAAGAAACGTGGAAAGGGTGCCACCAAGTTCCAATCTAAACAACTGTTTTTGAGACAGGGTCTCGGCACATAGCCCTGGCTGGCCTGGAACTCACTATGTAGACAATGCTGGCCTCAAGTTTTACCTGCCTCCGCCTCTGAGTGCTGGGATTAAAAGTGTGTACCACCATGCCTGGCTAAGCAACATTTATTTTTTGAAAAAATGCAAAGACACCAAAATAACAGAAGGTTGGACCCAGAAAGTGACAGCTACTAACCTGAGATACGTGCGTGAATATCTGCTCAGACATTCTCTCGCACAGGACAGCCAGCAACTGCAGCACCAGCAGCTTCCGCTCCTGCTCTTCTGTAAGAAGAGCCTGGTGTTGCTCCAGTTCCAGCAGGCTTGTATAACAGGAGGGCGTGGGTTTGAACGCTGCTTCATTTTCCACTACCAGATGAGACAACTCCTAGAAGCAGGGGATGAAAGAAAGAGTGACAGAAAAGCCACTGGCACTAAGGACTTGGCAAACATATGGAAGGATTCGCATCCAAGGAAACAATCTGCATTTGTTACACACGTCTGTAGTCTCCGCCACTCGGGAGGCCGAGGGAAAAGGATTGCAGGTTTAAGGCCCATCAAGGCTACAGAGGAGTCCAAGACCACCCTGGACAACTCAGTGAGACCTGCCTCAAAATTAAAAAGTAAAAAGAACCAGGGGTATAACTTCATGACAGAGTTGTTCTTGTCTAGTACATACAAGCACTGGGTTCAAATCCCAGTACTGAGAAAAAGAAAAGAAAGAAAACATAAGCTGTAGAGTAATATGCATTTTCTGATCCCGTGTATATGAACTTCACACACACACACACATACACACACACACACACACATACACACACATACACACACACATACACACACACACATACACACACACACACACACACACAGCACTAGTTTAAGGAAAAAAATCAATTCATGAAAGGTGTCCTCTGGCCTCCACACAGCGACTCACACACGCCGACATACATACACATACAAAAACATACACAAATAAATAAGTGTAAAAAAAGAACTTGTTTGATAAATAAACTTTTTATAATATTTTCATGATTTCTATCACTAGCCTTCCATGAACTAAGTCCTCAGATGATATAACTTAGTCAAAGTCCTTTCAAAGACCCTTAGATGGCTTTCCTTTAAGATAAGCCAGAAATAAACATCTGTTCACGGGGAATTCATTACTGTGGGTTTGGTAAGCTTTCCACTGCCCTTCTCCAGTGTGAATTCCCATAGGAAGGGAAAACCTTAAGTTCCTTAACAATTAGTGCTTGCTGGAGTAGCTGACAGCGGAGAGTAACGGTATTCAACTGCACCCGGGTAATTTCCCTCCCTGGGGGACATTTTGAAAAGTCTGCAGGACATTTTGGTTGTCATAATTATGGGTTAAAGCAGGCATTTAGTGAATAGAGGTCACAGATACTGCTAAGAATCCTACAAAGAACAAGACAACCACACCAAATAACACATTTATCTAGCCAAGTGTCAGTTTTGCCAAGGTGACAGTTCCCTGGCTCCAAGCAAGGTTTCCCAAACATTTCCACTCGCAGCCTCTTTTCCCTGAGGGATTACTACAACTCCATGTGTGGCCGTGGGTAGAATATGTATAGTAGTCAAGCACACAATGGTAACAAATTCTAAAGAAATTTAGAAATTTACTTTAAAACAATTCTTTGTCATACATCTGGGTTTTTTTTTACCATTTATTAAAGATGAACTAATTTGCATAATAATAAGATGGGTTTGCTTGATTAATTTTACATGAAGAAATCAATCTTAAATATTTGATATGGCAAGATGCACAGTATCTTCAATGTTTCTCAGAGTAGATCAACATTTTGATTTTATAAACATCAATACAGCAAACTCAAGTTTGCTTAAATATATAATGCAAAATTGGAAAAATCAGTTGAGGGCCATTTCAGAATTTATTTAAAATAATTTAATTTAATAATTTATTTAAAATAATTCAAGGCCAAAATTCATTTAATGATTTTTTTTAATGAAAGACCAAGTATAGCAGCCCAGTCAGCAATTTAAAAGGAAAATGATTATGTATGTGTCTGTGTATGGGTTTGTTCATGTTAGTGAAGATATCTACCAAAGGTGACATTAGATCTTGTAGCACTTGAGCAGTGGGAGAGGCCTGACGTGGGTGCTGAGACCCAAACTCAAGCCCTCTGGAAGAGTAGCACTCTTAGCCCCTGAGGCTCTCTCCAGCCCCTCAACCAACAATTTATTATTACTATTATTTTCTTTTTTAGGTTTTTTGAGACAGGGTTTCTCCGTAGCTATGGAGACTGTCCTGGAACTTGCTCTGTAGATCAGGCTGGCCTCGAACTCACAGAGATCCTGGGATTAAAGGCATGTGCCACCACCACCTGACAATCAACAATTTTTAAAATAAAAAAATCCTAACACAATGAAATTAAAAGAGAAACTAATTTAATATTTACCTGCTGAGGAATGGGCACTGGAAAAATATTAAAAGTCTTTGTTTTCCACAGTTAAACCGCTGTCTCTGTAAAAGCAGACAGAGCTGTAACTGACGCGGTGACCTCTGTGCAGCTGGCGCTGAGCTGCTGACACGATGGCCTGCACTGTGCACAGGGCACGTGATCTGTGCTCAGAACCAAGGCCCCAGCGACACCGTGCTGCGAGAGCTGTCAGAAACGCCCCCAGCTCATTCCCCACCAGATTTTGAATTAAGTTTTGGTTATTTTGTGGTCAAAAACCTTTAAGTGTTGACAAATGTTTTGTGACCCCCCCCCCACATCCACTTATGTGACCTCACCTGGGGTCATGACCTACAGTTTAAGAGGCTTGTGTTGGCTGGATATAGCTTAACTGGCAGAATACTTGCCTAGCATGCACAAAGCCCTAGGTTCCATTCCTAGAACTGTATAAAACAGGCCTGTAATCCTAGCACTCAGGAAGTAGAGACCAGAAGATCAGAAGTTCAAGATCATCATTGGCTAGATTGAGGCCAGCCTGGGCTACATGAGACCCTTCAAAAAACAAATAAACAAACAAACAAAATATCAAACTGGGGTTTAGAATATAGCACTTTGATTTGGTAGTGGTGATAGTATTTTGTTTTGTTTTGTTTTTGGAAACAGTCTCATTATGTAACCTGTGCTGGCATGAAATTCAAAATCCCTCTTCCTGCCTCTGATTCCAGACTGCTGCTATTACAGACATGGACGACCACATCTGGCTGGTTTGGACCATTACAAAAAAAATTCATTTATTTTTCTTTTATGTGTAAGAGTGTTTTGCCTGAATGTATGAATGTACACTGTGTGTGTGTGTGTCTGGTACCTACAGAGGTAATAGGCACTGGATTCCAGAGCGCTGTAGGCCACCCTGTGGGTGCTGGGAATTAAACCCAGGTCCTCTGGAAGACCAGCCAGTGCTCTTCACCAAAGGACAGCTGGAAACAAAGCAGACAAATAAGAGAACCTCTGCTGAGAAAAGCAGAGCATGTGGCTGAGACGGAGGGAGCGTGAACATGGAGATGAGAGAGCACAGAAAAGAAACAGCCCTATTGCAGGTTCTAGAAACGTCAGCTTCGCATTCCCAGCCAGCTTGAGAAAGTGGGAAAAGCAAAGCCGGAGGTCTCCAGCAGACAGCAGGCAGGGCTAGTGTTATGGGGTACATCTAGAGATTAGGGCCAAAGGAAACACAACAGGCACTCAGCAAGAAACGGAAAAGGTTTCAAGTGGCTACAGAGTGAAATGAGGGAGGCAGAGCGGCTGTCTCCTTTCCAAATACCTGACAGCACAACAGTCAGAAAGGATAAGGGATTACTCTGCGGCTCTAAAACCTGCTATTAACTTCAAAAGGGTTCTTACTGTCAACACGGAGCAAAGCTTAACTCTTTCAGAGATCAACAAGGCTGCTTTGTTCATGTCTAACATCGCAATGCAAACTACCCAGCCAAGGAGACAGAGCACATCGGTCCCACTGATGTGTCCTTCTCTTGACAACTCCAAAGCTACCAGGAACTGAATTACTCTTTGTCTTCTGTTCATTTGCCCTAAACTGGAAGCTAAATTTTAGGACCTAAAATTATGAATGCCTTAAAAAGACAAAGGCTTTCCTGCAACTGTCCAAGAATGAAGAAGAGATGTGACTGTGAGCTCCTACCTTCAAACAAAAGATGAAGAAGTCTCCTGCCAAACCACACTGCTGGCAGTGGGACAGCAAGTCCCCAAGATGTTCAATCTGGCTCTGCTCCGAAGACACCTTCTGATACAGGGCTTCATCGTCATCATCGCTGCAACACTGGGGAAGAGTTCACATCAGTGTCACTAAACAGCACTTTCTCTTGAAACCAACATTTTCTTTCTAAAAGGTCTATTTTCTTTTGTGTGTACAGGGGCACATGTGTGGCTACCAGGGCACATGTGTGACTACTGGGGTACAGGTGTGGCTACCAGGGCACATGTGTGACTACCAGGGTACATGTGTGACTATAGAGGCAAATGTGTGACTACCAGGGCACATGTGTGACTACCAGGGTACATGTGTGACTACAGGGGCACATGTGTGACCAACTACAAGGGTACATGTATGACTACAGAGGCACATGTGTGATTGACTACCAGGGCACATGTGTGACTGACTACAGGGACACATGTGTGACTACAGAGGCACATGTGTGACTATAGGGGCACATGAGAATTGGCATAAAGTTGCATGTGGAAGTAAAAGGACAATTCCCAGAAATCAGTTCTTTCCTGACACCTTATGGGATCCAGGAATCAACTCAGGTTCAGGCCTGAGCACAAGCGCTTTACCTACTGAGTCTTCAGAAGCCTGGAACCTCACAGTAACCTTGTAAAACAGCACTATTTCCATGTAGATCATCATTAGGTAGACCCCGAAAATATTTTCCTGTATCTCCATGCTGAAGAATGCAAAGTATTTATAAATTAGAAGCAGAGGTACAACACTTTGTAGTACCTTAGTA